TAATCAATGAGCCATCTCTCCAGTCCTCAAAGCTTTAGTTTTTAGCAGAACAAAAGATTTATTCCCTCGCATGCAAAATGAGCAGTGAGATCAGCTGGCTTTTCAGAGCTGTAGTCTTTCATGTTGGGACTCAGAACACAGGCTGCTCCCACCTTCTGTCAACCCACATCAATATTTGCTTCTGGTCACCAAGGCAGGGAAAGAAAGAAAACGCAGCACCCTCACATTGACTTTTAATGCCTGGGACTGGAGTGACACAAAACTCTTCTCACATTTCATTGGCTGAAGCAAGCCCCAAGGCCAAGGTTTTCTTCAAGATACAGGGAAATGTGATTCTCTCATGTACCCAGAGGAGAGAAGAACCAGATGTGTTGGTGACAGCCCTGATGTCACAATGGTATGCAGCTTAGCTCTAGCTCTGCCACTGATTTTCAACAGGTCTTCTTGCTTCCAATTTTCATATTTGAAAATGACATTTGTTTAGTCAATTGACACCTGTTTTTGAGAACTCACCCTGTGCCAAGTACTGTGTCACGATGGCAGTGAAATAGTAAACACGGGGAGATCTCTGCCCTCAAGAAGTTCACTACTTAGCAGAGATTTTACTTATTATTATTTGTTTATTTATTTACTTTGGTTTGGGTTTTTGATACAGGGTCTTGCTATTTTGCCCAGGTTGCTATCCTCTTGTTTTAAGACCCTGGGTGCTGGGATCACAGGTGTGCACCATCACACCTGGCCTTAATTTAACAGACCTTAGTGATTGACTTCAGTTCTGAAATTCCAAGATTCTATTTAAAAGCAATAATGACGGGCTCCCAGCATGTCACACTCTAGTTACTCAGGCACTTTTCCTTCTCCTGAGTTCACTAGGCAGAAGTGAAAGTCCACTTAAACAAAGAGACAATGCCTTCCCTTCCTCAATGCGAGTGTGTGTGTGTGTGTGTGTGTGTGTGTGTGTGTGTGTGTGTGTATTCTGGCACACACTGTGAAAATGAGGAAGCCTTCACAATTCTCTTAGATATTTTGAATTTAATATAGAAAATTCTTCATAAAAGATGAGAGAAAGTAAATCTGATTGAGAAATTTTGGGACAGACAAATTTGCCACACAATGTACATTCCAGATATTAATGTTTTTCTATTCTCATGAATAAACCAAATTATGAAACTTAGAACATTTCAAAAAATTGGCTTTACAGTTAAATTTTCCCTGGAGAAATATTTATTGGCACAAAATAGAAACATGAATAACGGAATAAAATTGGTTGCCAAGTTAATTTTTTAAAAATCTCTTATGACTTAAAGTAGGTGCCAAATTTTAATTTACTAATTGTCTCCAGTTAAAATAGAGTTAATAAAAATTTATGAGAACTTACCTCATTGTCTTTTAACATTATGCAGCAGTTGAAAACATTGAATGAAATGTACAAATAATTCCACTTTACTTTATGCTGATGCAATTGTGGGATTTCATTTTTTTCTTTTAATACTGAGTGTCAAAATTCTTAAATCAAAGCCAAGGAATAGTCATACAATAGTTGAGCATTCTTTATTGTTTTACAGACATTATAAATAACATTCTGATTAGTTACAACTATTTCTCATCCTGTTGCAATTCTTTACCACTTATGACTTTTCACAATGTAACAGCTTAATTTGCCACTTGTTTGCATTTCCTTATTTTGTGGTGTGTGTGTGTGTGTGTGTGTGTGTGTGTGTGTGTGTGTGTGTGTGCGAATGTGCATATAGAGGCCAGAAGAGGATATCAGGTGTCTTCCTCTCTTAACTTCTCTTGGGACAGGGTCTCTCACTGAACCAGAAGCTCACTGTTTGAGGTAGGATGGCTGGCCAGCAAGTCCTGAGTATCTGCCTTTTGTCCCCCTGCCCTAATGCTGGGGTTACAGGCAGGTGCAGCCATGCTTGTTTTTATTTATGGGTGCTGGGAATTTGAACTTGGGCCCTCCTGTGTTTAGAGCAGGTGCTCTTACCCACTGAGCATCTCCCCAGCGTTTGCTTGTACTTTGAGTTTACTTACTATCCATGTACTTATTTCCTTTCTCAGTAACAAAACAAGGAGAGAAAAGAAAAGACTGGTCAAATGGTAACAAGTTACAGCTAGATAAGAGACATAAACATGGTATTGTATTGTGCAGTAGAATGGCTGAAGTAGTGATATTGTATATATTTCAAAGACCTATGATAAAGGTCTTTGAATATTTTTTCATGAAGAAATGCTAAATGAGTATATATAGAGATATTTATCCTGATTTTAGTATTATACAATATATACATATATTGAAACTTCATGTAATACCCCAGAAAATGTTCAATTTTTATATGTCAACAACAAAAATAAGTAAAATGAGGTCAGAAACCATGATTGTGTATAAACAGAACCTCTGGATTTCCCAGCAGGCATCAGTATTTATTACTAGACTTGAAGGTAAAAAAAAGTAGTACTCAGATCTTTGAGTTGAGAAAAAGCTTACAGGTAGAAGCTGGCGATGTTAGCGAGGGATGAATACCCTTCTGCGCTCCCCACAGGTGTAGTCCCTTCAGTAATCCAGTCTACTGCCATGACATCAAGTGCTACCTCGACACTCGCAAGTCTGTACCTCCAGCCATGCCTTTCTTTGTGAGGGCCACTCTGCCATTTCGGCCACCAAAATATGTAAATGTGCAATAGTTTGAATCTGGAATATCTTTCAAATACCTGCAATTTTAAGGCTTGGTTGCCAGTTTCTGGCACTATTGTGGGGCTGGGGTCTAGTGAAAGAAAGGTAGGTTATTGGGTGTACTGTGAAAAGGATACTGGGACACTGGCACCTCTCTCTCTCTCTCTCTCTCTCTCTCTCTCTCTCTCTCTCTCTCTCTCCCTCAGCTGCCATGAGGTGAGCAGCTTCCTCTGTCATGGGATCCCACCATGATGTTCTGGCCACCATAGGCCCAAAGCAGTATAGCTCACTGACCATAGACTTGAAATAATGAATTAAAACCAACTTTTCCCCCTTGTAAGTTGTTTATCTCTGGTATACTCTTGTCACAGTGACAGAAAGATGTGTACTACAGCCAGAATGCTTTAACTTTTCCCCATCTTCATCAGATTCCTTTATGGTATTTCTTCTTTCAATTTGACCAACTGACACACATGAGGTCTTCCTAGATTCTTCCATTTTGCTTATCAATTACCAAGTATTGTTGATTTGATTTTCTTAATAGGTCATCAATCCATCCTTTTCCTTCAACTTCCAACTTAGGTCAGGCCTTCTTTCTTAATGTATTTGTACTGCTATAACAAAATACCTGATATTGAGCAACTTAAAATAACAGAAATTTATTTCTTATAGTCTTGGAGACTAGGGGATTTAAGTACCAAGGCACTAATAAGAGCTCAGTGTCTGCTTCCAACAGGCACATTGAACTTTCTCCTCAGTGGAAGGCAGAAAAGGAGGCAGGCTTAACTCATTCCACCCAGTACTTCCTGAAGCCATTAACCCCATTTATGAGGGTTTTACCCCTATGACTTAATTGCTTTCTAAATGTCCCCACTTCTTCATACTATCATATAATATTCAATGGGGTAAGTTACGATATTTGGAATTCTAAAAGTATACACTCATTCAAACCATTGTACCATCTACTCAAGAACAGTCTAGCCGCCTAAGTTTTCTTTAAAAAGAGTTTTTTTTTTAAATTATGTGTATGTATATGTGTGTGGTTATGTGCACATGTGTATGCAGGGCCTGCAGAAGGAGGTTTTGTATCCCCTGGAGATTGAGTTAAGGTGGTTGTCAGTCACATGATGTAGGTGCTGGGAGCTAAACTCAGGTCTGCAAGAGCAGTATGTACTCTTAACTGTTGAGTCATTTCTCTAGCCCCACGTTCCTATCTTCAGCCAGGCTTTCCCTGATCATTTCCTGCATTCCTGTCCTTGATCAGACCTTTTCTAATCATAACCTGTTCTATGTATACCCATGGCTTTTGTCCTAGTAAACTATGAACTAACCAACGTCCCTGTACTGTGCTTTCCCTCTACTCAGTGGGTGGGTCTCTTCTGCTTCGATCTTTTTCTGGTACAGCTGCCTGCTCAGGAGGTCTCAGTCTACTGCGAGGGTGAAGCTTCTGTGTCCAGGGTTTCGCATCACATTTTCTTACCATAACAGACCTTTTTCACCCTGACTATACCTTCTCTCTTCTCACCCAACTTGTCTACATCTTCTTGCTTAGTGGGTGATTGTTGAGGACCATGGAAAGATGAAGTTGGAGGGAAGAAATGAAAAGCATCAAAGAACCTGGAGCCAAGATCCCTCTCGCTCTTGTAAAATCCTTGAGTTCACAGTCTTCTGTAAAAACTTTTTAAGAGTTGTATTTATTTATTAATTTTTATTTTATGTATATGAGTGTTTTGCCTTCATGTATGTAAATGCACCCGTGTCATACAACACTAGTAGAGGTCAGAAGAGGATGTTGGATCCCTTGGAACTGGAGTTACAGATGGTTGTTAGCTATCACATGGGTGCTGGGAATGGAACCCGGCTCCTGTGCAAGATGAGCTAGTGCTCTTAACTGCTGAGCCATCTCTCCAGCCTCCTGTAAAATGTTTTGATTCTATATAGTGCTTACAGTGTTTTGTGTGGTCTGAGTGGACTGTATTGTGTCAATCTGTGGACCTAAAGGACAGTGGCCTTGTCTACCAATGCCACTCTGTCTTGATTCCACTATGAAACCACATGAAAGTCATGGTGATAATGGTGATGATGACCGACACGGTCTCACTATGTAGCCCAGCCTGGCCTCAATTTGTGATTCTCCTGCTTTAGCCTCCTGAGTACTGAGATTAGAGGCATGTACCACAAGGCCCAAATCCAAATGTTATTACTTGGTGTTTTCTGACAATAAAAGAAGGGAAAAATTGAACTCTCATGACAAAAGGCAACCTGTTTAAAGGCAATATTAAATCTTGGTTTAAGTAATGTGTTTGAGGAGAGAAGCATTTACCTTCTGCTGAGGAAATGTGGACTCTGTCATGGCAACTTCAAAGCTGTGGGCTCCTCTGGCCTGGGTCTTCTCCCACAGAGCTTTGAGGAACTGCACAGAACCACTCTGTGTGGACAGGGGCTCAGGAAACAGGCTCTGAATGGGCATAAGGATAGAGACATCAGTTACCCCTGGGCCCAATGATACTGTTTGATGGACTCTAAGTACTATGAAGGCTTGGTTGCTTGGTTTGAACTTTAGCATGAATTATTAAGTTAAAGATTTCAAAACTAGTTGATGTTGTTATACAGATACCTAAACCTTATAACACAGTGTTATCTTGACCATTTCCCAACAGTGGTTCTTAATTGGAAAGTGGTTAATATAATTATTCAGATTTACTTTATCACAGATCTGGGAATGAAGGTATAAATTTAAAACTAGAGTTCAACAGTGATGTCTATTTATATAGAGTGAATTATGAAGAATAGAGATCAAACAGTGAAGAGCTCATTGTTTTATATGTGCAATTATGAACAGTTTGAGTAAACACAGGGCAAACAAAACACTTTCATGCTTGTCCTAGTTTGTTTCTTCATTGCTGTGACAAAACACTCTAACCACTACCAACTTGGGGGAGGAAAGGGTTTGTTCAGCTTACATCTCCGGGTCACAGTTCATTAGGGAGCCCAAGGTAGGAACTCAGGACAGGAACCTGGAAGCAGGAGCTGGAGCACAGGCCATGGAGGATCACTGCTTACTGACTTGCTCCCCCCTGACCCCTGCTCAGCCTGCTTTATTATACAACACAGGCCCACCTGCCCAGGGGTGGCACCACCCACAGTGGGCTGGGCCCTCCCACATCACTCAGCAATTAAGAAGGTGCCCCATGGACATGGCCACAGGCCATGCCAATGAAGGAAATTCCCCAATTGAGGCTCCCTCAACCCAGGTGTGTCAAGTTGACACTAAAACTATCTAGCACAATGCTAAAATATATGATGGGTGAATATTCTTAATTAATTTATTTATTTTTTATGCACGAGTGGTTTTTGTGCATGTATGTAAGTGCATTCATGTCATGGAAGCCAGAAGAGGGCATCAGATCCACTAGAACTGGAATTATAGATGGTCGTTAGCCATCATGTGGGCGCTAGAAACTGAATCCAGATCCTCTGGAAGAGCAGCAGCCAATGCTCTTAATCACTGAGCCATCTCTCCAGCCCCATGAGTGAATACTCTTAAAACTTCAGGATAATTTCTTTGTATTGTCAAGGAGTCACTAATTTAAGGGAACTATATTTTGCTATATTCCCATAAAGCCAGTGAAAATCAACTTTTCAATGGATTTGTTAAACTTATGTTTATATATTTACTAATCAATAATGTGTCTAATAATAATTTATACTATGATGTTATATCTGTAAATGTGAGAAGCCTTTCAATTTAAAAGGATGTTATAACAACATATAGAACATGAATAAATGATATAAATATCATTCATTTACATATACTATCAATGTTGTTTTCTACCGTGATATAGGATACAATGAGAATTGGTTCTAAATCATATTTTCTATGTCAGTGACTAAGGCTTACTAGACAGTTTGTGTATACAAGCTTCTACTTAGTGAGTGAGAATTAATAAAATCTTTCCAGGACAATCTCATGATCATCATTAAAATAAGCTGCTTCTTTTGATGAGTAGAGAAAGGCAAAGGATCATGAACTCCATGTTAATGGCTGGCAGATTTTAAAGTTTATGAGCCAGTAACTGATTATGCAATTCCTAGTGTGGACACACTCGGGAATTTCCTAATTACTATTAGAGACATACGGTACGTGACTTTTCATTTCAAGAGCAGGACTTGGTTTAATAAAACATTAATCCAAAGAGGAGCAGTTAGACAAATCTGTGAATCAGAGAAGTCCATGAATGTGTGAAGTTGACATAAAGGTGAGAGTTTGTTCCACTACACAAGACCGTGCTGGGTTTGAAATGACCAGATGGAAGTTTGATGTGGGTTTGCTCCCAAGCTAGGATTTACCCGGAAGATGACATCCCATCAAAGATATGGAGAAGGAAAGGGAGCATTATAGTGAACAGAACTCAGAGAAACATCAGCAATAGCTGTTTTCTGGGAACTTTAAAGAGAAGGAGAAAGAATCAGACCAAGTCAATAAAATGATATTGAAGAGATGAAAAAAAAGATCAAGTTTTCTTGGTTTACTTTCAGAAAACTGACAACCGTTAAAAACCAAGTCAGATGAAACCAAATACAAAATCGCTGATGAAAACTATTTGAAGAATATAAGTAAAGTGGAAGAAAACAAAGATCATTATTTAAAGAAAAGGAAGAAAAATAAATATTATTTTGTTTGCATGCGTTTGGTTCATATCAAAATCTGAAATGTTCTCTATGAGATGTTATTAAGTCTCCATAGAAAGACACTATAGTAAAAATTGACTTCCTTAAGCCATGCCCAACATATTTTCTTAAATATTGTAGTTCTACTTTATGATTATGATGCATTTAGCACTAAATTTTATTTTTGCTCAATAAGCCTTACTTTATAAAGAAACAGACTATTTGGCTGGTGACTTTTAAATTTTACTTTTTACTTATTTATTTATTTATTTTTATTTTGTGTATGCGTGTATTGCCTGCATGTAGGTAAGTGCACCTGTGTTGTGCAATGCCCACGGAGGTCAGAAGAGGCTGTCGGATCCCCTGGAACTGGAGTTATGGACAGTTGTTAGCTGCCATGTGGGTGTTGGGATTTGAACCCGGGTCTTCTGTGAGAACAACCAGTGTTCTTAGCCACTGAGCCATCTCTGCAGGCCCTAAATTTTACTTTATTTTTTATTTGTCTGTGTCTGTGTGTGTATATGGAAGTGTGCTTGCCATGGCATATATGTGGAAGTCGGAGGACAAGTTACATGAGTTGGTTTTCTTCCACTCTGGGTCCTGGATATCAAATTCAGGCTGTCAGGCTTGGGAGCAAATTCCTTTACCCACTGAGCATCTCACTGGCTTTGGTGGTGACTTTTGTAGGAGCTGTTATAGAAATATTTTATTAACTGAAATAAATGCACTATTTCACTACTTTTCTAATTTTCAAGCGTATTGTGACATTTGCATCCTGCATTTCCTGCTTCTGCCTCTCCCTTCACCTGCCTGTATCTCCCACTTCATTTTTCAAAACATAAGCATGAAAAGACAAGTGTCCTGGAGGTCTACCCTTCAGTTTTCTTGTCAACAAAAATGATGTTTAAGAAAAAAAGATGTTCTTAAATGATGGCTAAATTTGTTTTCTCTTCTTGGCCTAGAAGTAATTTTTGAGGGAACTGACACTGATTCTAGTCACTCCAACAGCTGTTAAAGTGCCTGAAAACAAATCCTGAGTTCATCACTCTCTAGTCCAGCTTTGGCAGCCAAAAGAAAAATGAGGAGGAACCCAATAGAGGGATGCTTTCGGAAGCGCTCCTCAAGAAATTCTAGTGGACTTTGATTTGGACATTTACAATTTGCTCTGTTCTGATTTTTTTTTTCTGGTTCTCTGTCTAGAACTTGTAATGCTAACTGTTCTTGCCTTTACTTCTCCTCCACTTCTCCTAGGCACTGGTCAAGGATTTTCTTTTCTCCGCACTGTTAAGAGTTATACAGTTTGGGAGTCTTTTAGATAGACCCACTGAATGGGTACCCCAATTGCCTCACCCTGTGTCCCTGTTCAGCATGGAAGAAGCCAGAGTGAATTGTCCTTATTCCCCATTGGCAAATTTGGGTAACCTCTTCAGAAAGTGATATAATAGGAATAGGAGGTAGAAATTGGCTAGGAAATTAGGGTAAAAAGACCCCAAAGAAAAGTAGCCGGTTTCCTTCTTGGCTAAAAGTCAAAATGTCCTTAGACCTTTTAGCAGCCTGGTCTGTATCAAAGTCCAAAAATGTCAAAAGTATTTAAGAACTCCTGTCTAATCCCTAAATTTTGAAGGTCACCTTTTCAGAGGGGGGTAGTATCAGAACAGCATATAGCCCCCGAAACCACCTGATGGGCATGCACCTTCAGTCCTAGTAAGTATGTGAATATAAAACAGCTGGAATGGGTTAGCTTTACTGCTAATTGTACTCCAGCCCACACTCTTATTCTTATAGTTTTAAACCTAAGGAATTCAAGATAAGGTAGGTTTAGTTGTTGATTAATGATCCAGGATATTTAAAATATTTATTTATTTATTTATTTATTTATTTATTTTTATTTTATATGTATGAGAGTTTGGCTTGCATGGATGTTAAAGGTACCATGTGCATTCAATGCCCTCAGAGTCCAGAAGAGGGCATAAGATCCCCTGGAACTAAAATTATAGATGGTTGTTAGCTACAACATGGGTGTTGAGAACTGAACCGGAGTCCTCTGTAAGAGCAGCCAGTGCTCTTAACAGCTGAGCATCTCTCCAGTCCCCCAGGATATATTTTTTTTTAAAGGAAATCATCTTAAAATATAGAAACTCCATGCTAATGAATTTATATGTACTATTGCTATCTACATATCATTTATGGCCAAAGAATTAGTAATTCAATAAAAATGATTATAACTTCACACTGAAGCACCTCGTTAAGGAACTGAAGTATGAATTATACATACCTGTTGGAATAGAAACATGATCTGGATCCATGGCTGAGGCTCTTGGCTGATGAGGATGAAACTGGACTTGCTGTACAGGCAATAATGATCCTTCAGAGAACAGGTGAAAAACAGCTTTGCCACACAATTTCTTGCAGTATCTAGAAATAGACACACATATTGTTAAACATTAATTTCCTCCCAGAGTGACGCTTTGTGATTCAGAACATAAGCACTTTTAGAAACCAATCTTCAGTTTTCAAAAGAAAACTGTGAGCTAATGACTCCTGTCACCTCTGTATTTGGGAATAGATCCATTTCATGGAAGTTAGATGTAAATTAACATATTTTAGACAGACTGTATTTGATCAACTTTTTTCTTATTTTAAATAACATGCAACAATGAAAAGATCAAGCAACTTCTACAGAAGTAAAAAGTCATCCAATTAATACAATAAAGGGCCCCGTGTTCCCATGTCATAGTCATCTGATTGGACATGTGGAAGTGGTAACGTGGGAAGATGACTGAATGGAGAACATGCAGCATCACTTGTCAGTGGTGGCATGCTTCCAATTGCTGATGCTGTTCTCTTGGCTGTGTTGAACACAGCTTCCAATAAATGCCTGTCAGAGATGTGGACTCCTCTGCTCTCTCTGGTCTGGTTTGAAAGGTAATTGCATTTTGAAGATCAATAGCAGCAGATTTAATGAGATTACTCCTTAAGGACAGGCAAGTGGTGGGTGAGTGACATGGAGCTGTAGCTGTGAAGAGCCATACATATAGGCAGTCAAGAATGAATGAATGAATGAATGAATGAATGAATGAATGAATGAAGTACATATAGGTTGAGACTGTATGTGTGTTAGACACTGTATGAAGTTCTGGATAGTAATAGTCCCACAGATTGACTTTTGCAAATATTACATGTTGGACTCCATCTAATTTTTCCAGCCATATAAGATGAATGGAATTATTGCTTGAATTTGAACTGTTGCCCAAAGCCTCCTATGTTAAAGGCTTCATTACCAACCAATGGACTTTGGGAGCAGGGATGACAGGGTCATGAAGGCTCTAAGCCCATTAGTCAATCTATTGGAAGGCTAACCATTTGATGACATTATTGGGAGGTGTTGGGAACTAGGAGGTGGGACTCAGAGGTAGTAGGTCACTCTAAGGGCATGCTGTGGAGGGTGTACCTTCCTTGACCCAGTCTCTCTCTCTCTCTCTCTCTCTCTCATCCCTGGCTGTCATGAGCACCTTCCTTGGCCACATACTCCAGCACCATGATGTTCTGTATCACCTCAGGTACAAAGTAGTGAGACCAGCTTGCCATGGACTGAAATATCTGAAACCAGGAGCCAAAATGAACCTTTCCTCCTTTAGTTGGCTTCCAACTGGCATTTGTCACAGCAATGAAAAGGAGACAAACACGGGCATTATTATTTGTCTTTTAAAGATGAGAAGACTTGGTCCATTAGAAAGTTAGACTAGTGAACCACTGAGACTATCTTGTTCACCACATAACCTTGTATAGTATAGATTAATAGGTAAATAGATAATTTGTGTCTGGACAAATGAGTGGAGTTCAAGGATCCAGAAAAAATTACTCAACATTGCTAGCCCTGTGGCAGAGTGTGAGTCAGGTTTTGAACTAGCGGGGCTGACACCATATTGAGATGCTTTAGGCTCTACCATGAGTGGTTTTTAAATTGTAGAGTCAAAACCACACATACATATAAATAAATAGGATATTGAAAAATAAACTGTAGAGTCATATTGATAGCTCACCTAAAATTTATTGTTTTATTATTAATCTGACATTTTAAGTACAACATTCTGAAAATTAACAGAGTCACTATGCCAACTATTAAAAGTAGAGGTGGAGTGGAGTTTCTTTAAAGTTGAGGTGAGTCTAATAAAGGTGATAGACTTAGTCACCACCTAAACCAGTCTACTGAAGTTATTTGTCTCAGGAATTTTGTTGTAGTGATGGAAAACTAGTTAATACAATGGTAATTAAAAGAATAATTGACCAGATGTTCGGAAAAACTCAATTGAAACTGATTTATGGTGAGCCTGCCTTTGTGCACATCTGTAATCCCAGGTACTTGGGAGAAGCAGGAGGGTCATGAATTCAAGGCAAGTGTGGACTATGTAGGATGATCCTGTAGTCAACTATCCAACTAGACATTTATGCTAAAGAAACAGGAAATTAACTATCCTATAAGTTCACATGCCTAGAAATGTCATGTGAAATAAATCTAGGTATAATGTCTACATTAAACAGCAATATGTTTTCCTTTGATGAAAAGTTTCAAAGGCAACAAGCCCTGGTCTGAGAACCTGTGTAATTAGCTTGACAGTTAGTTACATGTTGGACTTTGTCACGAGAAAACAGTTTCTGTCTTTTTCCTTTCCCCAAATTCTTACTGCTTATGTATGTTTTATTTGGAAAATAAACAGTGATTAGATTTATTTCACTTGCACTGGAACTATTTGTTTTATATCCAAACCACAGGGGTCTCAGATCACATAAAATAAAGTGGTAGAAGAGGAGATCCTTTACTTAGGAGCATATGCATTGGCTATAAAAATAAATCAGTAGTTCTGCAATATCAGGCTTCTGTTGATGCTTTCAACAAACTGGGTCTATTTCAATATTCTCATTTTTTTTCAGAGCTTTACTAGCTTGGAAATTTCTTCCACAGCATTAAGGTTTAGTTGTGATTTTTCTCAGTGATTTTCTCCTCTGGTTCATTACATAGCATCAAATAGTAGACATGAAATAGTTATTGGATCAATGAATGAGTGAACATTAGAGACTGCTGACAGTTAATAGAGGCCCTGATGGTACCCTTGCTAATTAAGAAGCTTCTAACCAAATGAGAGACAAATCTATAAACAGAGGTTACAACTTATTTTAAGATCATGAAGTGACAGAGGGAGACAAAACTATGGCTGTTGAGAGAACTGGGCAAGGTATTCTAACCAGAGAGTAAGGGATGAGGGGAAGGCTTGAGGCACACCTTGAAAAATGACCAAAAATGACTATTTTATTTTTTACACTTAAATAAAAAAGCATTTTAAAGATGGATCATGCCTGAGGAATGACATGACATGCGAGGTTGTCCTTTGGCCTCCATATGTGCATTCACATGCACATCTGCACACATATGCACCTTCCTCCTCATGAATGTGTACACACATAAAAACACACAAAAGCATTTTAAGTGCCAGGACCACTCTTTCTACATGCCATGTTCCAATATTAGGGAATTTATAAGGAGGCTGCCTCCTTATGATTTTTACTTTCTTTTTCTCTCTTATCTGTCCCTGTGTTTTCTCTCCCTCACACATCTTTATTACAACCTTACTATATTTTAAAAAGCTTATAGGTTTTAATTCCTCTTGTTGTGTTGTGCTATGCAATTTTGCTCATACATTTTTTTTAAAAAAACATGAAATTGGGTCTTAAAAATATCTCTTGTTCTCTTTTTCTCTCTAAAGGCCTCCCTGTTTTCTGCAAGATTATATTTTTATAGAACCTAGATTCTTGTTTATTTTTCGCTTTTTTCATGGCCCCGTCTTTGATTTCATTCAATTATTATTTCTACTTTTATTCTAAGTAATTTGTTTTCCTATTTTATTTATTATTATTATTATTATTATTATTATTTATTTGTCTGGGTGTATTGCCTGCAGAGGTCAGAAGTGGGTGTCTGATCCCCTGGTACTGGAGTTATGGATGGTTGTTAGCTGCCATGTGGGTGCTAGGAATGGAACGTGGGTCCTCTGCAAGAGTAGCCAGTGCTCTTAAGCACTGAGCCAACTCTTCTGCCCCAAATTCTAAATAATTTGTAACATCATAGCACACTCTATATAATTTCTGCAATTTTCTTTTCTATGAACATTGATGGGATAGTAGTTGGTTTTAATTGATTTTAGTATATTTGTGTATTGGTTGGGTTACATATTATTGCTGTTAAAGCAGTTTCTTTTCTTCTATATGTGAGTTTCTGTGGATTGAGCTCTCAAGTGAGAGTATTCTAAAAGGACTCACAGAGAAAATTTTAAGTGTCATTTAACTCAGTAGATATACAAATTGCAATACAGAAATACAAAAGCATTGAAAAAAGAAAGGCAATATGTCTCTTCTAAAAGATTACATATCCTCAGTTACTAAATGCAAAGGCACTGATATAGGTAAAATGCCAGGTGAAGAATTCAAAAGTTATTTATAAAAATAATCAGTGATTTCAAAGGGAATCCAAACAGGTAGACAAACGAAATAAGGAAATAGATTCAGAAGATGCAAAGGAAAGTTAGAAACATAGAAAAGAAAGTAACACAGGTGAGCAAGTCAACAGTGTGGATGAGAGATTCCGAGGAAGTGATGCCTCAGTCCTGTTCAGCCAAGTTCCTCATGAGTATTGCAAATATTTTCATATTTCCACTGAAAGAAGAAAGGTGGTCTAAATAATAAACAAATAAATAGATAATTCAACCACTGATCCAACTTTTTGTGCACGAGTCCAAATGCAAAAGTGTAAGTAACAACAATAATGAAAAAACCAGTACAATGTATCTTCTACAAAGCCTACCAGTCCCACAGTAATGGCTCCCAATGAGTGACTTAGATGAAATTCCAGACCAAGTATTTGAAAGAATGATTATAAATCTATTCAATGAATTAAAAGAAGACACAAATAAATTTAAAGAGAACGTTAACAGCTGAGTCAAATAAGGAAGCCACAAAAGACATAGAAACCAAATTAAATAAGTGAGTAGGAAATCTGAAGAAAAAAACTGAAATGACATTGGAAATGAGATAAGTCAAAGGAAATAAAAGGCTCAGTGGAAATCTCACCAACAGAATGGATTACAGGGAAGACAGACTTTCAAGGCTAGAATGTAAGGTAGAAGAATTGGTACATGCAGTCAAAGAGAATACTAAATAAATAAAAACGATAGGATTGGAATATGTCAGGTCTTTGGGGCACCATGAAAAGACCAAATCTATGAACCATGGGCACAGAAGAAGAAGAAAAATTCCATGCCAAAGGCATATAAAATATTTTCAATATGATAGCAGAAAATGTCCCAAATCTACGGAAAGGGTAGAACACCACATACATAGGGCCAGAAAAGGAAACTCCCCAC